AGGAAATGTCCAAATGTGCTAACATCTGAATGCAGAAAGGAGCTAGTGGTTTTCAGAAGCTCAAGTTAACAGCAACCTACAGTGAGGACGGAACCAGCAGTATTTGTCACGGTTAGGTCCAAATCCACAACCCCCACATGAGTTTCAAAGGTTTCAACCGTTTCTTAACACAACGGCAATAAATAATCAAAAAGTGCTATGCTGTTGTTCTCAAAGCAATCCAACTTTGAAGGTTAAATTCACTTCCAAAAAGGGCTTCAATCTGGAACCGAGTAACTTCTCTGGCTGTCCTTTTTGCATGTTTCATGGACCTCATTATTTATCCACGTGGTCCTTTCTCTGGCCAAGTTGTATCAGAATCCAAACTGTGATGTTTGCAGCTGCACTTAATGGAGCTGGAGGCTGGCCTTGTGGACAGTGTGTGCATCCAAAAGAGACATTTTATAGCAAACTATTCCAATGAGAGATTAATAAGCGGGTTATTGCTTTCCACAAAGTCGGTGTCGTGTTCACGGTGATTGGAGCTGCTACTTATTGAATTGGAGTGCTTCCTTTACCTTTCATTTAACAGCCTTGGTCCCTACAGGAGGGAAATTAAAACAAAGATTGCAGTTTGTAATTAAGTCTTATTGTTCCACCAACAACAACATTTTTAATACATGATATTGCAACATTAATATTCAGCTAAGGGCCATCCTAGATTCTTACAGTAGATGGGACAAGCAAATCTGAATGCTGCCTTACCCTACATGTACAGATAGTCTTCATTTTTATTTTTCCAGGAGAGAACGGAACAGGTCTATAACATGCTGATCACACACGGTTTTAGAAACTGACATGTTTTTCTCCGTGAAACAACATGCCAAGTTGTACCAGGAAGTGGAAACCGAGGTGATGAGCGATAGGAATTCCATTGGGGTATGTTTTGTTATTTTTGGAGCTTGTTGGTTCATGCCTGCCTCCTACATGACCATCACATACGTATATTCCTTTAAGACATATCTCGTTTCGGAGTGTGAATATTTTAGGATGCATGCCGCACATTCTAAAGGCTATTATATGTGACACCTGCATTCCTTTTTTTGTCTTCATCTGTCAGTAGAACTAATGGATGTGCGTTTGGCCATAGTGACTGAATGACTCATAGTGTAAGCCGTCCAATAAGAAGCCTGTTCTCTCAAAGCTGGAGTAATTGACAGCAGCTCATCTATAAACAGAAATCTGTACTTGTGTTTACAGAAAGCTGAATCCAGGTCAAGTCATTATGGCTTCATCAATTAAAATAGCACCGTGTCTCACAGCTGCCATACCGCCTGTTCTTTACCTTCAAGACATGCTTTAAGTAAGGTTACAGGCCATGACTGGATGGGAAATGTGCTTGCTGATTTGCTTAGCTTCAGTAATATGACATACTTCTGAAATGGAGTACGTTGTGTCAATTAGAGAGAGGTAGGTATAAATAGTTGGGAGGTAGGTGATGAAGTGTTTGTCGCATGCAGAGTTGTAGAATACCTCCATCTGCACTCAATAACTGTAAAATAATAAAACACTCAATAATAAAACAGGAACTTAGTAACACTATCATACATCACATGAATATGCAGTGAGAAAAAAACCTCAGGCAGAATTAGATATAGATACAAACTCTAACTTGGTATAAATCGACAAGCAGAATATACTGTACTAATCATTTATGAAAAGAAAGATACATTAACAAAGCTCAATCAAAGGCGGGTGTGCCTTCATTTGGTTATTTGAATCATCAAAATGATCTTCTTAATGGACATTTGATCTCCATTCACCCCTTAAAAAGAATAAATAATAACACAACTAGTCTTTGAGAAATGAAAACAAAAGTTGTTATCAACAACAGTCGTAGTTCTACATTGGGATCGTACAACTAGTTGCTCCAAATCACTTTCGATATAGTCCATAGCAATCACCTCAGGAGCAGACCAAAAGGACACAAGTAAAAACACACATACACACTGTTGCTTTCACGCTGTGTATCTTATCCCGCTGAATAGCCGCTGTGTGTGACTCTGCCTTTAGCTTTTCCAACACAAATGAATCTTCCACACTAGCCCGATAGCTTATCATTTCCGAGAACACACATTAACTGTGGCAATTCATACACATCCACCCACACATGAAATCACACACACTCCCCCGCACACCAATCATGTCCAGCTCTCGTGTATTTAAAGTGGCAACCTGCTGTTTTGGTTGCTGCTGGTCTCCTGTGCCTGCCAGGGGCCGCTGCTGCTGTTGTTTAATGAGCAGAGGCTCTCCTCAGACTTCTAGCTCTAAGCCTAGTCTGTTTCTGTTGCTGTGTGTCTGCTGTTGCCGCGCTGACCAGAGGAGACACGCAGCTCTGTGTCCCAGGGCTAATTGCTGCTACTTGGCTGTCTTTCTGTGCTCGGCTCTCATTGACTCCCCGGACTCCAGGGGGATTCCCACAGGCACCCAAAGACAAACAAACCTGGGCGGACAATCGATAACGGATGCAAGAGTTACCGCTCAGTGTAGCCGCTGATTAACATTCCCTGGGAATGTGTGTGTGTAATGTGTGTGTGTGTGTGTGCGCGCACTATGTAAGATTTTGTGTATGTGAAGGTGTTAGCTAATTGTCCCCACTCTTTCAGTGCTAACTGGAATCTTCAGCCAGTCCCTAAGTGCTTGTTTATGTGATTTTGATTAAGAGCAGCAGAGAGTTCAGAGGCATCCTCAAAACAACAGCACATTAATGCTCCCAGGTAATTACTGCCTCATCCCAGGTTCACAACCGAGGGGCTGGAATCGTGTCTGTGCCTAAATGCGGTACCTGATCCACTGACAGTTTTAAAGAAACACTGTATGTGTAGCATTTACACGTTTTTTATTGTTTTTATGATGTGTCCTTCTGTTTGTGATGAAATGTGTCACCTCAGGGCATACAAAATATAATGTATCATCATCATCTCATCATCACGAGTCATTATGGAAGGCTATTTATACTCGGCATTGAACATGGATGAACTAAAATACTAGTGCTAATTAGTGTCAACAATTCTACAATCAAACAACGTGTGTAAGATCGTTTTTGTACCCATATTTTGAAACAAAATGACAATGTCCTCGCCACATTGGAAAATTCTCCTCACATATATGTCCGTGATCTGTCCCTGTGTTCCATTGACTGCTGTAGGCTAGCGAGCGATGCCGTGCGTTAGTGTCATCTCGCCTCTCTTCACCCTCTTCACCCTCTCCAATCCCTCTGCTCTCCTTCTCTCTGGGCTCATGTTTGCTTTTGTTCTCGTCTCCAGCCCGCCTGACTCATAATGATGATCTTGACCAAGCGCAATGAAAGGTCGAGGTTTGCCCGAAAATTGCCTCAAAGCAATCAGCCCTGTCTCTCTGCGCTAACAGTGTGAGCTCTCTCAGTCCCTTTTGCCATCTTGCCATCTCTAAAATGTTTCTCTCTGTCCTTCCACTCTCTGTGTTTACCCGGGAGGTGGGGGGGGGGGGGGGGGGTTGCGTTGGGGAGAATTGACAGCAGAGAGTGGGGGGGGGGGGATCTTTCCTGCTTTGAAGTCTCAGCTCTGACCGGCGGCTAGGCGAAGGCTGGGGACTTGAAAGCACCAAGCACCACTGCCTGGTTGACATTTCAGCACAGACCTGTGTGTGTGTGTGTGTGTGTGTGTGTGGGTGTGTGTGTGTTGTGTGTGTGTGTGTGTGGGTGTGTGGTGTGTGTGTGTGTGTGTGTGTGTGTGTGTGTGTGTGTGTGTGTGTGTGTGTGTGTGTGTGTGTGTGTGTGTGTGTGTGTGTGTGTGTGTGTGGTGTGTGTGTGTGTGTGTGTGGGTGTGTGTGTGTGTGTGTGTGTGTGTGTGTGTGTGTGTGTGTGTGTGTGTGTGTGGTGTGTGGTGTGTGTGTGTGTGTGTGTGTGTGTGTGTGTGTGTGTGTGTGTGTGTGTGTGTGTGTGTGTGCGTGCGTGCGTGCGTGCGTGCGTGCGTGCGTGGGTGTGCGCGGGTGTGGGTGTGTGTGGACAACAGAGTGTCTCCTTATGTCTTCAGCTGTCCTCACGGACTGCTGGCTGCTGGGGGCTATTTGCCTCCACACCGAAGGGATTACCTTTCATTACATGAAAAACAGAATCTCCCATTCAACCTCTAACCCCTCTCTCAACAATAGTGCCTTTGGGATGCAGTGCCACAGCTGATACCCCTATTAGAAATACACCCTCAGTAGCCAGACAGACATTGCATGAGCCATAGCCACATGGACATTTTATATGATGTTTAGAACACACATAAGGCTCAAGGACAGCCTCCTTTGGGTCAGCTGTTCCTTCCAGCCCAGTGTGCCGGAGTGGCTTTCCTCTGATGGCTTCACACACATGAAAGACTTCACTTTAATGTGTCACACTGTACCCACACACTCAGCCAAACAACATCAAAGCCTGCCCGTGGGCCTGTTAGCTGGACGAATGTCTTAATCTACCGCCTGATTGCGTGTGTGTGTGTGTGTGCCTCCCTTTCTGTCTGTCCTGCGAAATGGTGTAAACAGGTGTTAACATGTCAGCCCACAAGATGCCACATGCCGCTGTGTCATGATCTCCCGAACAGCTGTCCCCCCCGCTGTTGTGTGCGTGGGTGTTTCAGGGTGACTGTGTGTGAGTGTGTGTGTTTACTGTAAGGTTATAAATGGCTGCAAGAGGAGCTTTAGCCCTAGATATTGTGCAAAGCCAAGGACAAACAAAGGGAAAGGGCAAATCATGAAAGGGAGCTTTATGGCAATAACTGATTTCCTTGAAAACTCTTGGAAATGTCCCCGGTGATATTTGATTTAGTTGGCAGGGAGAGAGACCAGCAAACACACAGTTCATCTCTGCTGCTAGCTAATGTCCCCATCAACAGCCATGACGAATGCCCTTGAGCAAAGAATACAAACTCTCCTTTTGTCTGTCTCTCTGGATTCAAGTTTATAATGCCTGTAATGTGAATGTACATCTCTGTCCTAAGGTGGAGATTGAGAAGCTGGACTACCACCACTACCTGCCTCTGTTCTTTGACGGCTTATGTGAGACGGTGCATCCCTACGAGTTCTTCGCCCGCCAGGGGGTCCATGACATGCTGGAGCACGGAGGCACCAAGATCCAGCCCGTCATCCCCCAGCTCATCATCCCCATAAAGAGTGAGTCTGCTCTCACCCTTTACAAAGCACAGAAAACACAGCTCCTCTCCAGAGGAACCCAGTGTGTTGATGTCCTTTTACCTCTACTGTGGTACCCAGCCACTGAAAGGTGGTTATCTGAAAAAGATACTGCTCAAATGCTCGCCTAGTATGAGCCTAAATGCAGCTTTGTGGATATGCAATTTAAAATAATGTGTTTTAATAATATAATAAAACACACAGGAACATTATCACAGTTGTTCAACTATTACAAATCCAGCAACTATTCAATTAACTTCTGCAGCATTCTGTATTTACATTAGTTTGACACTTGTTTAACCTTTAACTAAATATCATTAATATTCTATGAGTGGCTGACTGCCAAGTGATCTACCCAGTAAGAGTTCAATTGCAGCCTTAATAAATATTTATGTCAATATTTAATTTATGAGAGCATCATTACATTTTGATTACCGTTTGATGAGACAAATCCCAAGTCTAGAAGATATTCTCAGTTTTTTTAATTGTAGCTAGCCTCAGCCTTCAACAAATCAGAAGGTAGTAACAAACACAATTAAATAGAAGGACATTTATAGTTAGTAGGAAATATCAGGTCTCAGAAATATAATCACCTTTAATTTCTCTCAAAATTGCCATAGCTTGAAAATACACGAGAATACATTAAAAAGAATAGTGTTATCAATGTCAAATGTAATGTTCTTTTTAATATGTATTGTTATCTAAGACGTTTGAACATATTCTCTAATAATGACATCCCTCTCACACCTGTCTCAAAATACTGCAGAAGCAATGGAGGGCAACTTTAATAGCAGTAGGTGCAACATGCTTTGCCTGATATAGACTCACCTGTCTTAAACACTTGTGCTACAACAGATGCTAACATAACAGTCCTGTGACAAGTCCTAATTTGGTTTCACAGTCATACGGTTCCTATTATTACATTAACCCTCAGGGCGAAGCGTCCTTGTATATTTGCATTCGCCTGAAGAGGTAGAGTCTAAAAGCATGCCCGATAATCTGCCGTGTGCAATGCAGTGACAAACCACATTTAACTGTGTCATCGTGGTGAGCCTCCTTACCTTTCCACGCTGACGTCTTTTCCATACGCACACATTAGCAGATGGAGATGGGCGGAAAGGTCACGTCTGAGGTCAGAGCGTTCTATAAATACTGACATCAGAATTTACAGTGAGTGGGCGATAAAGGGTTTCTGGTGTGGCGAACACAAGGTGCAGAGAAGTTAGAGGAATGCAGAGTGTGGCTTTTGTTTGAACATTTCTGCACACACACACCTACACACACACACACTGTCTTTGTTTGGCGCCGCTGCCAAGCTGAGTGTCAGTTTCAAAGTGGGAGCCTTTAAGTGGCGCCCAGTGAGCCTGGGATAGTGTTCATGTCATGGGCAGTTGGCTGCCTGTGTGTACGTGTATGTAAGTGTGTGTGTGTGTGTGTGTTCTCTGTTTATGTGTGGGTGTGGGACGTCTGTGGAGGCGGGGGGGCGTGACGGCCAACACTAGGCACGGCTGTTGGAGACACAGAGACACGGTGACAGACTGACCCTGGCACAAAGTCTGTCACCACACTGCACTGAGCACACACTGCCAGGTCTCAACCATTACACACTGTGATATGCCTGGTTGTGTGTGTACATTACATTTTCTGTAGTTTATCTGCAAAATCATAATATTCCAAATGAAGCAGTGTTTTAGTTAAGTATAAACAGGTTGAGTACATTTCATTCCATTATTTTAAAACCGTATCCAAGACAAATCGTTTTTTTAAAGGGCATCATCTATCAAGTATTTTTAAGAAACAATTTTTTAATGCTGAATTGTTTTCTTAAAAACACTTTTTTTTATTGTCTTTATATATATATTTTTTTCTTATACCTACTTTGCAACTTATTTTTTTAGATTGTTTATGTTCGCACCACCAGATTCCAAAGCAAATTCCTTGTATGTGTAAACGCACCTGGCAATAAACTTGATTCTGATTCTGAAAAAGTTTAAATAATTGGAAAACAGAATGACAATGTTGCCCTTCCTCAAGAGGCTCCCACTCTACACCCAACGTGACATTATGCACAGAGTTGCTGTGACACTCGCTAACTTAGACAGAAGTTTATAAATTCAGCCCCCTCAGCAGTTTTACTCATTTTCCTTTCGGAGGCCAGACCAAAGGTTATGGTTATGCTCCTCATGAAAACACATACTTTGCACTGATAATGGAATTTTAAATGGCCCTGCTCCTTATTAACTTCTTGGTTTATTAGAAATCAGGCCCGTTTCTCCATCCAAAAGGCAAAGCCGCCAGTCCGTGTCTCTGTTGCAGATTAATTACTTTTCTATGGAGCAGGGAAGAAGAGGGGATGGTGGAAAGAGGAAGAAAGTAAAAAGCCGTCTGCAGTCTAAAATGGCAAGATATATATTTTTCTCCCTCTGACGTTAATACATCTTCAATGTGGCTGGCAGGCTCTTATCTGCAGAGTCACGTCAGGCCCCGGTGAATTTTGATGATGACTGCAGGTCGCCCAATGAGAATACACAATGAAGGAGGCTCTGGCTGACATTATACTCTAAGGCCCTGCACTCAGTGACTTAGGTGAACACTTTCCTACAGTAAACCCTGGTAACTTCTACCCTATGCATAAAAAAGGTGGGAATAGAATACTTGGATTTAATACATATGTGCTTGATTTAAGATAAAGTAAGGCATAAAAGGTCCCGATCCTGCTGAGCTAAACAGCACCATGACTAAAGAAGAAAGGGTAAATTGAACTGAAATGCTGTGGTTTGGGTTTTCCTTAAATAGGGAGGAGGATTCAGAGTCATGCCTCCATTGAGCCTCTCTTGATTGGCATAACATTTGTTCAGCTTTGGACAAAAATGTGACTTTCATTACAAGAAGATCCTCGGTTACGCCTCTGCACGGGAACGTCTTCTTCTGATCTGGAAAGTATATTTATATTATGAGCGAGAACATTTCACCACTAAACTATTCAACGCGTCAATGACATCTCAAAGGAAACAGAGGTCACCACTGTTTTATTTTCCCACTGAATATGAAACAGGATTTGTCCAAGCACCGGTTTTATACCAGCATTAATACATCAGGCTCTCGGCCGCCGTCACTCCCGCTCTCTTAATTTTATTTTTTTCCTTTCTCTTTTTTTTTTTCCCCCGGCAAGACGAGTGTCGATGAATAATTGAACAGTCCCGCGGTCCAAATGTCACAGCAGGGAAAATTGTTTGCGCTGGCTGGTAATTAGAATTTCATTGTTTGTTATGTAGGTTTGAAATTCCTGTCATTCCACATTCCACCTTATCTCGGTGATGGCAGTTATCACCGCACTTGTCTATCTGGGGAGACACTACGGCAGAGATGGAGAGATGGTACGGAGCACAATACATTCGCTCATTCAGCATCATCTCCACTGCTCTGCATAGGACACACACACACACACACACACACACACACACACACACACACACACACACACACACACACACACACACACACACACACACACACACACACACACACACACACACACACACACACACACACACACACACACACACACACACTGCCACTGACAGAGACAAAGACAAACTCTCAAATGGTCACCGAACAATGGACCTGGTTCTAGTCATTTTCTTACATTCACATATAAAAATGTTTCAATAATGCAATATGATGAGATTAAGTGTTTTATCCCCTCAACCTCTCACCCACCTGTTGATCTTTATAGCTTTCCTTTCAGCACCAGTGCTCATGACTGAAGCTGACATTTAGTTTTGAACGTTTCAGTGTGCATGCCCGGATAGTTGCGTGTGTATCAGTGTGACTTATGTGTGCTTGTGAGAGCTTTGTATTTGCATATGAGCTGTTTTGACAAAGGCAGTGTGCACATGTTGCTGTAATCTGAGTGCTCTACTGTAGCACAAGGGTTGTTGTTGTCTTTCTCTCAGGCAGTCTTCTCTCATTCAGTCCGTAGTGCTGGGGATAAAAGTCAGTATTGTTGAATCCGTAGTAACATGACTTGCTATGGAAGAGAAGGACACACTCCCTGTGGAAGATGGAGGACTGGCAGAAGAAGACTGTGCCTCTCTGTGAATTGATGTTGTTGACTGAACAGGCACTGAACCAAATGAGTAGCGTTGCCTCCAAGTTGCTTGTAAAACAGACACTTCATTGCACTTGTGGCAACGAGCGTTGTCATTATCAACATGACTGAAGAGTAAACACATTTCATCCCTTATGCTTTTCCAATTCGTTTTGGGCGGCCATTTGTTCTGTGAGAGTAAATGTGACCAGCCCTCTTGAAAAGTCAGGTGTCAAAAGAGAAAAAAGAAATCGAATGAAGGAGAGAGCGTTTATCTTTGCTTCAGGTTTCGCCAAATCAGTATAAGAGGTACTTTACTGATTCCAAATTAGGAAATGTTTGCGTTGCAACAGCATAAAAAACAAAAACAAGGCATTGCACATAGGTAGAAATGAAAGAGTAGAAATAAACAATATTAGAATCTCAAAATAGAATTAAAACTTCATTAAAAAGTAGAGAATATACACTAGACTGTGAAGATACAAATCTATAAAGTCTGACAATAAACAGGGTGCGTACGGGTGCTGGAAATCCTTGAAAATGCTTGAAATTGTACGAGGTGTTTTCAAGGTTTGAAAAGTGCTTGAATTTTGGGAATGGTGCTTGAATTTGGGATAAAGTGCTTGAAATTGTAAATGCTTTACTTCGCTTTTTAGATTAAAAGAAAATAAAGAAGTCTGAGCGCGCTTAATTGCTTCGCTTTTACATAAAACAGCTCCGCTCCGGCCTTCCCGCGCAATGCGCGTGACCGGCAAGTGTTTTTGTTACGTGTGTGACCTGGGCATTCTGATGAGAGTGATAGATGACAGTATGCCAGGAGGTTGCCGTTTCAACGAGCGTTGGCTAGCAGAAGACAAATACAAGCCATGGCTAAGACGAGGGTCAAGCCCAAGAGTAGCCTCCTGCAAAGTGTGCAACAATAACGATGCGAGAGTCTGCGCTGACGAGCGACACACCACACGAAAGGTACGCCATAGGAGAGCATTTTAGATTAGGCTATCGTTGCATGTAAAATACATATACAATACTTTTCTCTGTGCGCGGCAAAACAAGCTCGCCAAAATGGCTTCACTAGTCTGGCAGTATTTTAAGTGTCCGAAAATGACAATAAAATAGCGGTATGCAACGTGTGTGTGAAGCAGAAATCCTGCAGCTCCACCCGCTGTGACAGACCGGTGAGCGGAGCAGAACACACATTAAGAGTTAGACCTAACACACTTAGCTATTTGATCTACCTCTGGAACAAGCTAAACTAGTTATAAATATATTTATTCTTCACTGTCGGGTCGCTCATTACTGGATCAGTGAGCTGCATGAGATACTGACGGGCTGTCAGGAGAGAGAGAGAGAGAGAGAGAGAGAGAGAGAGAGGAGAGAGAGAGGAGAGAGAGAGAGAGGGAGAGAGAGGGAGAGAGAGGAAAAGAGAGCGATATCGGTATCGGCCGATACTGATTCCGGCGATCGGCTCCAAAATTGGCGATCGGAGCATCCCTAATAATTGTATATGATATGTTTTATAATGATTGATCATGAAAGTGTTCTCAAAGCTGGTAAAGGTGCAGCTAGTTTGAATGACTTTGTATACTACAGAGTAGCTTGTGAATTTACTCCAGGTGGAACTAAAGTCTGATTTAACACTTGGTTATATTTCACATCATTCATCCACATCTGTAAAGTAACTAAATGTATTAATACATGTAGTGGAGTAGAAGTACACCATGTACCTCTGGACTGTAGTGGAGTAGAAGTACACCATGTACCTCTGAACTGTAGTGGAGTAGAAGTACACCATGTACCTCTGGACTGTAGTGGAGTAGAAGTACACCATGTACCTCTGAACTGTAGTGGAGTAGAAGTACACCATGTACCTCTGGACTGTAGTGGAGTAGAAGTACACCATGTACCTCTGAACTGTAGTGGAGTCAAAGTACTCCATGTACCTCTGAACTGTAGTGGCATAGAAGTACACCATGTACCTCTGACTTGTGTTTACTGCCAACCTAAAAGTACCTCAAAAATAGTAATCAATAATGTATTGAAAAGTTATTTGGCTGATTGTTTTATATTGGCTCAGCCAGGTTATATGGGATGCCCAGTCTACGTACAGATGGGTCACTCATTTTGAAATATTAAACTTAGTTTTCTTTTCTAACATTTTTAATTTTTCATCCTCATGTAGAATGCTATTATGAAACACACATTTGGTTGTTTATAGCATAAAGAACATCTGATTTAATGTAAGGTAGGGAAATAATCATTTGAGTATAAGTATGTGTATATAAATATGTCATTTACAACAGCTGTAAGATGCTTGAAAAGCTTGAAAATGCACCTTGAAAATGCTTGAAAAGTGCTTGAATTTGACTTTGGAAAAGGTATAAGAACCCTGAATAAAACACTATTGAAGGGTAAAACTATATTGTTGTCATGTATTTAGCTTTTTGATTTGAGGCAATTAGTGTTTAGTTTTTCAGTTCTAGTACTTTCTACAACAAATACCTCTCTCTCTTTCTTCTTCTTCACTCTCACCTATTAACACACTCTTCTTCTTCTCTCTGTCAATCAGTGTCTCTGCTCATAATCTGGTTTCTTTGTTCGGACTCTTTCTTCAGACATCTTGCTTTTAATGTCTTTCAAATGTTTTTGTATTGTTGTTGCTTACTTGCACAAAAACCACACTGTGATGGCATTAGCATCTCCTCTTTGTGAAAGTAGGCATCAGATGACAGTTTCATGAAGATAAATAGCACAGGCCTGTTTTTTCAAATGTGGGTTATGCTGACAGTCTGCACAGGGGATTACCAGCACTCATGCAGAAGCTCACATCAAAAAACCTTAAAAAAGAACAAATAAAACCAGCGTAAAGAAGCAGAAAAATATGTCAGTCTTACTTGCTAATCACAGTTATTTTCTAACCCTTTGCCCTACGCCTGTCACGTCTCTTCATCTCTCCCTCTGACAATTTGTCTTCTGTTGTTTTTCCCCTTCTCTCCTTCTCTTTCTTGATCTCTCTACCCCTCCATCTCTCGCGCCATCATTCCCTTTTGTTCTCTCTATCAGTGGGAGACGGAGTTAAGTGCACCTCTAGGCCAAATAGCCCCGTGATTGGCTCTCACTTACCTCTGCCTCTCTTGTGCATTTGAAATCACTGATTGCAGAGAAGCCATTCTAAATCAAAGTCCAGCTATAAAGGAAATGCTTTCAAGGTAGAGGAAGTGAGTAGGGGTCAAGATGTATGTGTAATGTGGCTGTGTGTGTATGCTAAGCCCACTCCTTTGTACCATATAATTGCAGTTGTCAGAATCGCTCCACATTTACTGTCCCTGCTCCTGCCTGGACAAACAACCCATAAATCTGATATAAAAAGTGACGGATTGTTTACCCTCGCAGCCTCCCTTTTTGCCCGCTTTCGCTGACCTTTGCCCCCTGTTCCCACGTCTAGATGCTCTGAACACGAGGAACCGACAGGTGATCTGCACCACCCTGAAAGGCCTGCAGCATCTGGTGATGTCCGGAGACATGGTGGGGGAGGCTCTGGTGCCGTACTACAGACAGATCCTGCCCATTCTCAACATCTTCAAGAACATGAACAGTGAGTAACAAATGGCTGAGTGTTAATTCAGGAGCAGATGGTGTGTCAGCATGACGAGGGCTCTGCTCTTTTTGTGGGGCATTGAGTGTGTGGTGGATGTGTAAGAACGCGCTTTGTGTTATAAATCATTTCTGGTGCTAGGACTGCTCCTACGTCAGTGAGTTGATTAACAGCAAACGATTACGAGCCTGTGAAAGGCAGTGATAAGTATTCATGTGCAGTGTTTAGCCTGTGGTTTGGTTAAAACAGCTGATTCCACAGAGCTGCTCCGTTTTGTGAAATGCTGTGCAGATGTCAAGTGTCTATTTTCTTTGACTGTGCATCTTTTGACATGCAGGCAGAAAGCAACCGGTTTTCTACCTTTTGTTTTCTCTGTGGAATCCAATGTATTCGCCTGTCCCTGAATCCTTTTGTTCCTTTTCCTCCCACCACTTTAACATCCACTTGACAGAGAAGCTCCATTTTGTCCTTTCTGCTGTCAGTCATGCTGAATTGTGCCGTGCTGTTGAGGAGAGGGACTTTGTCCTTGCTCTCCCTGAAAGCCTCTACCTGGGTGACACCAAGACCTGGGGAGATTGGCATCCGATAGGCAGGGCTCTTTGTGTGGCTGTGTCAAAGCATTTAGCATGGTGTGACATGATGTGGGACCATTGACGGCTTAGAGGCACAGCCAATGCCAAACGCCGCTCACCGCACAGTCAGTAGGATGTGGAGAGTGACATTGCGAATCAATCATTTAAACACAGGCTTTAAAAGGAGAAAACACAAGGTTTAGTCTCTTAATCAATATCCAATTTGAATCTCTTGTCTCTTTAATTCGCTTACATTATCTTTTACTATTTGCTGAGGTCTAAAAAAGGAGATAGCGGAGGAAAGACAAAGGATGGCGAAAAAAAGCCTCCCTTATTAGCGCGTGGCCGTATGCAAATCTCCTCGGTAAATTAGCTGTCAAATCAATCCCCTAAACCGCTTTGAAGCGTGAGCTCCCCCGCCGCAGCGCACGCTCAGCAGTTGGCCGTTGAACCCCACCAGGAATAGTTTTATCTCCGCCTGGTAGTTACAGGGCCTGTCTACCTGCCTGCCTGCCTGCGTGTCTGTCCTTCTCTGGGCGAGCATCGATTAAACCCCGAGCCCACCCCTCACCTGGCAGACGGCCCTGCCATTGAACTCTCCCACAGAGAGGAGAGTCAGCCAGATAGAGGCTAAATTGGCTAAACATAGCAAGCACTGCATAGGCATCCAGTAGAGTTTCTCACTTTTTAAAGTTTGCTTAGACTTTGGGGCTGATTATTCAGAAAGTTTAACCAAAGTATACAAGTTTGTATATTTAAGTGAGAATATAAATGAGTTCATACATAGATAGATACACATATTTCCAGTGTTTTTCTCCCTTTTTCATCTAGATCACCACCCACTCCCTGCTAACTCACAAAGATACAACTTCAAATGCAGAGAATGTACGCTTTCTCTTTTGGGGACCAAATGCTCTGTGAATCAGAACTCTGTGTTCTTTTTCTCTGTAAAACGCAACATTTTTCAGGGTTGTTGTTCTCTAAAACTCTTCATCTCGCTGTGTGCGCCTTTGTCTTTGTCTCGTTTTATGTGGCTTGTTTATACCGATATCAAGGCTTTCATTGAAGTCCATCTATTATCTAATATCGCTTATATACACCTACAGTTCTAACCCACGTCAGGGGGCTGCCTGTAGCAGACAGCCACGATCATTGTGTTTCGTACACTAGAAGACTCAGAGGACTGTCTCGTAGTGTGTGGTAACGTCTCTGCTTGACTCTCCCACTAACTGTGACCCCCAGAGCTCGCTTGGCATCCCTCTTTTCTCCTGAGCCACAAACAGGCCACTGTCCAGTATGTGCCAAGTGTGTGTGTCTGCATCTGTGTGCATCTGTCATGAATGGGTCTGTTGTGTCTCATTTGCAGCTGTTGACTTCAGTGTGTCTCCAGCTATGTCTCTGTTCACTGTTCTTTAGGTCTACCAGCCTCGGGCACACAATGCTCTACGAGATGTCTTCGACAAGCTCGCATATATACGACACTGTGTGCGATATATAAAAAATCACACGCTGTCCTAGCTACAAAACCTGACTTTGTCCCTGTCTCCCCAGTTGTT